GCAGCAACTGACAACAGAGGTCATAACTAGAAGAGATAATTGTTTGCTTTACTTCTTTATTTACTGTTCTGTTTTCAGAAAAATATGTTTAAGAACTTATTTCAAAATAGCAATAATCTATATACATATGTAATATATAATGAATGAAATGTGACTGTATTCTACAAAATATCAGTCTACTAAAATGCAGGTCACTTTGTAAAGACTAAAGGTCAGTTTTATGTTATTTGATATGGTAACATGAGAGCACGTGAGCCGCGTCATTGTAACTTCTGTATTGTTAGCCAGGCACTGCTGAAAGATCAATATAATAAAAATAATAAATATACATAAATGTATAATGTTATGAGATTTAAGCTGTTTAGTCTAAACATTTGTTTTTATGTTATTATTTGTTGTCATTCTAGAACAAAAGAGACATAGCTTATATTTATTTCTTAATTTTTATGGTGGTAACAAGATCTGTCAAATCTACTGAATCCGTACAGAGATTCATTAGTGAAAATAATAAATAAAATATAAACTTTTTTTCTTAAGAAACATTTGATAACTATCTGGGCATCATAAAGATTTCACATGTGAAATTTCAAAATTTTCTGTTGCATAAAAGTATTTTTAGTCTTAAAATAAAAATTACTTTGCATGTTGGATAAGCAACATGCGAAAAGAAAAAAAAGGCATGAGGAAAAACATTGCTTAACAACCCTTAAGACTTAATAAAAATATTTGATATATTGCATATGAAAGCAGTGTAATGTATACTGATAACCTGCCAAATTTTGTTAACATACGTTTTCTAATTTAAAAGTTATAGCATTAAAACTATAACAAGCACAACATGGTTACAAGGTTGGTCACAGGGACCGAGCACGTGCTGTAAGATTTAAAAGTTATCTGTCATTTATTTTCCCAGCCTTCTCACAGCCAGCAACATGCAAAACCTTAATGTCATCAATAAATTTAAATAACTTATTGGCCATTCCTTTATCTATGTCATTGACATGAATCAAAAAGAGCAAAGGTCCTAACACTGAGCCCTGTGTTATCCCACTTGTGTCTTTAATCAAGCTTAATTGAACTCCATTTATAACAACCCTCTTCGTTATTCCATCCACCCAGTTTTCTATTTAACGAGTCTACCCACACCTACATAGATAAATTATTTTAATGAGCCTTTTATGTAGTAATTTATCAAATGCTTTTTAAAAATTCAGATATACCAAATCCACACCTGTACCCTCATCAACATAGGAACTAACCTCTTCAGTAACATGGGATTTGTCTCTAGTGAAACTGTGCTGATTAACCAACAAAATTTTAATCTTTCTTAAGTTACTCTGCCAAGCTTCTTTTATCAGACTTTTAAGAACTTTTTCTCACCACTTACATAAAACTAATAGGCCTTTAATTACTGTGATAATTATCACCTCCCTTGAAAAGAAAAGTAACACTAGCCAATTTCCATTCGCCTGGCACTTACAAGAAAAATGGTAGTATGAGGCTCGCATATCCAATCTTTCAAAACTCTTGAGAAAATATCTGGTCCAAGAGCTTTACCATTCTTTAAACTTCTCAATTTTTTTATAAGCTCAGAATAAATGTTATTATCATGCTCAATCTTATTTACCAACCATTTGTGAAGAGGGATATTGCTTAAATCTTCATTAGTAAATATTAAGAGAGTAGAAGTTAATAACACATTGGATATAAACTTTCTGGTATCATCTCTTGAAGGATCTGTCCCATTCTAACATTTTGTTCACTCTTAATGTATTTAAAGAAATCCTTACTGTTGATTTTTACATTTTCAGCCAAACTTAAGGACAATTAAGACATTATTTAGCCCTATCAAAAATCCTACTCCTTTCCTTTTAAGCAACCATGTATGTTTTTGAGTCCAGAAAGACTGTGAATTTCACATTACTTAGTCTTATATTATGTATCTCACACTGCATAAACAAGTCCTCCTATGATACCAATTGCTACTGAAAAATTAAATCTTCAATTTCAGTGGTGACTAAATGCTGTTAAACTTAAATTAAACTTTGTTCTCCTGAAGAAGAATAGTCAACTATTCGAAAATGCTCGAGTTTTGGGTCTTATTTTAAGTTCATTATTCTTGATTAATTCAAGCTTGTTCAACTTAATTGATTAATGTGACAACACATGAAAATAAAGTAATTGAAATAAGTGGCCAGTTATTACTATTTCAGTTAATAGTAGTAGTAGGATAATAGATTAGTTAAATGTAATTGATTAATGAACCTGTAAATTAATCAATTATGAAATTCCATCAATCACCCAGCTCTAGTTTGTAATAACACAGATACACTTAAAATTATTTGGTGAGAATTTTTCTAAAATTTGTGAAAGGCAAATAGATCATTAAAAGTAGGAATAATTTATATAAAACAAAAATAAGTCTTGAGAAGAGCATATGTTTCAAATACACGTGGGCCAGACATGAGTAAGTGACTAGCATGCCAAACGGTAAATTCAAAGGTTTATGTTTCACATCCCACAGCATTGTGACATCCAAATCCTACTATTCAATTATAATAGTCTAAGAATTTATAATGGGTGCTTTTGACTAGCTCCATTCCCTCTGGTCTGTTATTTCAAAATTATAAATGGCTATTTCAGGTACACGTGTGTAGCTTTGCAAATGTGCAAAGCAAACAACTAAATATATATGATGATTTTTTGACTGCTACTCAGGAAATGGTCTTGAAATTATTTCATTTTGGCCTACACTTTGCTTTGTGTTTCTGTAGTTAAGAAACGCAATGTTAAAATAACAAAATTAAAAAAATATATTTTTTAACATTTTAGTGGAAAGGAGGCGACGTGACAAAATTAACAACTGGATAGTCAAATTGTCAACCATTGTTCCTGATTGTACTTCAGATCACACAAAACAAAGTCAAGTAAGTTCATAGCCAATTTTTTTAAGCTTGTATTTTAACCTTTAAAATAGTTTTTGCTCATTCTCCTTGAGAGATGTTCAACATATTTATATTAACTTTCTTGATGAATATATAAGCTAAAATTCAAGTGATGCATTGTTTATTTTATAGATGATTTAGACAGAGTTATCATGATCAACCCACAAAAGTATAATGCCTAGTTCAGCATGACACTTGTGGACAGTAGCATGGTTGAGTAATGATTTGACCAATGGTAGCTACTGATGACTAATTTCTTCAATCTCTACTCAACATTAGTTTCATTGTGTTGATGTGAAAGGATTCTTTGTTTTTCTAGAATTGGTCTGAGTCAATGTGTCTGTAATTGTCTCAGTTAATTTTATGTCCAGTCAACCTGAAGAAAATAAAATAATACTAGGAAAAGCTAAGAACCAGTGGCAATTGTCCTTCACAGTTTTACAGATTACTTAAGAACCAGTGGCAATTGTCCTTCACAGTTTTACAGATTACTTAAGAACCAGTGGCAATTGTCCTTCACAGTTTTACAGATTACTTAAGAACCACAAACCCAATATACATCTCAAATCTGTTGTTATTGCCAAACTTGTCATCACTCAGATACTTTTTTGAAACCTATCTTATCACTACTACAAAGTAATACTGAATATCATGTCCATAACACAAAACATTTTCACTGAACAAAACAGAATCCTATATATCTCAAACCATCAGAATGTCCTCAACAGTTTTAATGTAACAGACCTATTCACTAATGTACCAGCTGCAGAAACTCTTCATATCTTCATGGCTGTCGATTGATAATTTTTTTGTATACAGAACTGGCATGAAGATAGAACCTGTGCTGGAACTAACCACAGTTTGCCTACAATCCACATATTTACAGTACAACAATGAAAGAACAGACAACCTTGCCTATGGTATTACCACTCTCTCCACTTTTAGCAGACATGTTTATGGAAGATTTTAAACAAATTTCTCTTCTATACTGATAAGAAACCCAACTTTTACAGATGCTGTGTCAATGACACATTTGTTATCCGTCCCCATAGTCATAAAAACCAGATGCTATGTCAATGACACATTTGTTATCCATCCCCATAGTCATGAAAACCAGATGCTATGTCGATGACACATTTGTTATCTGGCCCCATAGTCATGAAAACCAGATGCTATGTCGATGACACATTTGTTATCTGGCCCCATAGTCATGAAAACCAGATGCTATGTCGATGAAACATATGTTATCCGGTCCCATAGTCATGAAAACCAGATGCTATGTCGATGACACATATGTTATCCGGCAACATAGTCATGAAAACCAGATGCTATGTCGATGACACATTTGTTATCCGGCCCCATAGTCATGAAAACTTACCTTATTATAGTACCTAAACTACATAGATAGCAGAATCCACTTCACTTTGGAAGTAGAGAACAACAACAACAGCAGCATGCCATTCCTTGAAGTTTTCAGCAGCAGACACTCACTACACACATATAAAGGAAACCTAGTCATATTTATAGATATCTGCATTTCCAGTCTTATCATTCATCTTCTGCTAAACACAATATCACAAAGTGCTTGAATAACAGAGTTTAAAACATTGCAATGAAACTCCATCAGAACTGAATATCAACACTTCATTTAGTGTTTTAAAAAGAATGGATACCTTTCTAGTTTCATCACCAATAGCTTGAAGAATGTAAAAATACAAACTGATACAACAGATATGAAAAAAAATACCAGCACTATTTACCTCCCATGTGTGCAAAACCTAACTGATAAGATCAAATGTATAGCCAAAAAGTTCAGTATTGATGTCCACTGGAAATGTTAAAAAACACTCAGACCTATCCTTGTAAAAACTAAACAAAGAACATTTGACAACAATCAAAAAAATGTCTTTTATGAAATACTATGTTCCTGTAAGCAGACCAACATCAGAGTAATTGGAACACACTTTGCGGCAAGAATAAAAACATAAAAACTACACATGTGCAGATTTATGAAAAAACAGAATTCTGAATTGGCAGAATAAGCCATGTTGACTGGAAATGAAATAGACTGTGACAATTACAGACACATTGAATTGGATAAATTCTAGAAAAACAAAGAATCTTTCTACTTCAACACAGTGAAACCATTGCTAAAAAGAGACTCAGGAAATTGGTTGTGTATGTGACATGAGTTGTTGGTGGTTCTTGTAGCGTGTTTGTGGAACAAGTGAGGATTTGATCAATGATAGACACAAACTGCTTTCCAGGATGGCATAAAATCCCTGAGAAAACAAGTACGAGCTGACCTGAAAATGGAAGATAGAATTCCTTTGAAGTGTCATCCTTTCCATCTGGGCTATTTTTGTAGATCAGTTCTCCACAAATGTGTCATGCTGAATTAGGTAATTACTACCAATTGTCATTGCCATGTTTATTCCCAATTTTGCTGCAGTGAATGTTTTAGTTTTTGTACATAAAAATCTTTAAGCTAAATCTAATTTCAGATATAATTCTGGTCTGTTATGGTTCAAGCTGTAAAACTTGACCTAATTACATATTTTACATTTTGTTATTTATTTTCTTTACTTAACACTTCTAGCTAAGATTGAATCATTTTCCTTGCCTTTTTTATTACCATAGAAAAAAAAATTAAGTGTTATTATAGGCTATATAAAAAGCCATTGCCATTAGTGCTCAATGATTGCTAATGAACAATAATTGTATCAGTAATTATTTTTTCATTGAGAAATGTGGTCTTAATGAATAATTCTGTATTATTTTGGGGCTGGGGGGTATTCTATTTTGTCTTTCAGTTTCAAATTTACCAGAAATTAATGCATGCCTTTAAAAATGATTTCTTCATACTGATTTTCTCCACTCCTTTTTTTTTAAACCAGAGTTTAGGTTTTATCTGATTTTTTCTGTGTTTGTCTTTAAGCAAAGTAAGGGAGGTATCCTTGCTAAGGCTTGTGAGTACATTCAGGAATTGAGAAATGCTAATGCAAAATTGCCAGATATTCTTAAAGAAAATGAAAGGCTGACTTTGGATGTAGAGTTACTCCAGCAACAATATGAAGAGTTGAAAAATGAAAACCGTATGTTAAGAGCTCATCTTCAACAGCACGGAATTAATGTGGCTGATCGGATAAGGACCCACTCGTCATAATAAAATCAATCGTTTTGATAACTTGTAACGGTAAGGTTGCTTTTAAGTGCAATAATCCATTTTGCATAGCTTATATAGGTTGTACTATTTATTTTCTAATAATTGTATGAGTAAATGTAAGTCTTGTTGGTACTTTTGAGCTTTAGTATTTGTGGCTTTGTTATTTAACATTCGGATTTAAAATCTCGTGACAGTCAGCTGAGGATTGGTGAGACCAATCATATTGAGTGGATAAACTACAAGTAGTCAGTTTGTGTCATAGGCTTGAAAGAACTTTGAACAGGCCATAAGAAACAGATTGTACACAGTTTTTTTTATCTTGTTTGTCACCGTTAATCAGAAGACACATGTTATGTTCACAGTACACATTATTTTAAAGCACACAACCTTCGTTGGTTTTGTAACGATTTAAAGTTTAGGTTCTTTCGTCCGTTCTTCGTAGTATTTTTTTTTGTTACTAACCTACGACTCGTAAAAACC